CTTGTTCGTCCTGGCTGCCCAGTTTGTGCAAATGTGCATACTCAATCAAAGACACAGGGAGTTTCTTGGCACATCAATGTTTAAGGGGAAAGGAAGGAGAATGAAGAAAGAAATATATTAAGAACTGTCCTGATTTGACCTCCACCTGAACAGATGAGGCAAATTGCCTTGGACTGAACATGATGGCAAAGCCACAGGGAGCTGTTGATGTTGGGGACTCTGAGGTGAGTTGTCACTCAACTGAAAATAAAGACTATTTTCTTTTCAAATTCATGGTTGATTCAGCTTCGTACTCTAAACTTCTGGATGTTTTTTTATAAAAATTAATTTGTGTCTTTTTATAATACATTGGGACCAATATGTATATATTAATTTGAGAATTTAAAAACACACGGTATAATGGTAAGTGTAAAGGAGACAGTTGTCAATGAATATCTATAAGATTCTTCTTTAATTGATTTTATTGAGCTATATATTTTTTTGTTTGCTCCCCTCCCTGGCTTTTCCCTGCACTTCAACTCTTTTTCCGTGGTCCCCATGCTCCCAATTTACTCAGTAGATCTTGTCTTTTACTACTTCCCATGTAGATTAGACCAATTATGTCTCTCTTAGCATCCTCATTGTTGTCCAGATCGCTTCTTAGCCTTTTTGTTAAGAGCAAGTGTATAAGATTCTTGACAAGCACAAGGGAAAATAATATTAATCATAGACACATTTTTAAATGGGAACCAATAACTCCAATCAAAAATTTCAGTCTCATTTTCCCCAGTGCACTACAGTATGTCCAGCTGAACCATGGATAATTATAATTACAAAATAAAATGTAAAGAAATTTAGAAAAGATCACGTTGAAGCATAAGAACATGGAAACTGAACTAATGAAACTGTTTAGAGAAAGCATCAATGAATGAATGTTTATTCTAGGATTTTCAAAGAGGTGGAAAGGAGAGGCAAATTTTGTTTATTGTTAGACATTAGAGACTGTGAGACATAGAGGTGAAGTAGTAAACACAGAATGATATGCTTTTACTGCAGCAAGGGCAGTGGGAATGGGAAGGGCATGGTCCTGCCATACAGTAGAAGAAAGATGATGGAGGGAGAAAATAGTAAAATAAATCTTTTCCAATTTGATGTCAATCGGGATGATGATAATTGAATTTGATGATGCAGGAATCCTATGCCAAGGCAATTCTTGATGTTGGGCATCCTATTTGTCCCTCAACTAAAATTTAAAGAGTATTGATTTTCTGAGTCTTTACAGTTGATATATTTGGGGAATGTTTATACCATGATGCGTATTAACAAAAAGCACAGCTCTTTTATAAATTATAAGGGTTCATAGACAATTATTGATTTGGAAATAATTAAAAACATACTGATTCATTAAAAATGTTAGGGAACATATTGATGGTAGATATTCTTTTGTAGAAGATTTGGATCAACATTTGATTGAAAAGACCACTCTTTAAAATATATTCATTGTTCATGGAAAACTGAATATGTGTAATCAGACACTCCTTTCAGTTTCTTTCTCATGTATGTTCACTGTTGCTCTATTCACAAGAGCTAGAAAATGAAAACAACCTAAATATTCTACAGCTGTCTAATGGGTAATAAAATAGTGATACAAGCACAATATGTTATACATTTTCCATTGTAAATAAATGAAATCATGACTTTTGTAGGCAAATTGCAGGCTCTATAAAAGATTCTACTGAGTGAGCAAACCCAGACCAAAAAAAATATTGCATGTTAGATCTCATCTGTTATGCTCAGTTCCAAATCTTCAGATAAATGTTGGGGAGTCACTTGCTACGCCAAAAGATCATCTCATCTTTAGGTAAGTTCAGCCGTCATTTCACTGCAAATCATGCAAGTCCAGTTCAGCAGACCAGGCAAAAGCAGTTTCTTTCCCAAATGGCTAAGCAGTTCAATAAGGAGCCTCTTCAATGCCCATCTTCCTCTTACAGTAGATTTGTATGGCCAGAAAGAGATATGTCTCAAATCTTAAGTTTTTAAACGTCTTAAATGCCGTGTTCTGAAGGTCTCTTAAAGATGTGAAGAATACCTATCTTGCTTAAATATATCATTGTACAGCTAGAAAATCTAAGTAACATGACAACAAGTATGACTATTATAGGTAATTATCTATAAGCATATATTTCTTAATTATACAATAAATTTTTTAAATGAGCTACACTATCACAATTTCTTAATCAAGTGGAGAAATATACATATATATTATAACAGACTTTACCTTAAATTTGTATCAAGAAACGAAGATCCATACTAATGCAAATTATTCATATCTATATCATATCGCCCTGTAAATGTAAATAAACAATTAGAGACAGCATTTGGGAATATGGGCGTAGTTTTTTCCATACTGCTTCCTGCTGATTTGGGATGCTGTTCATCAGGTCTTTTATGGTGTATCCTGTGTGCTAGGTTCATCTCAGTAACCAGTTTGGCAAAGTAATGTTTTGAGGGTGTTCATTCACGGTGACCTTTTTGGGGGTCTTGGTCTATGAGAGCATATTTGTCTGGAAGCAATCCACGTGTGACAACAAATGAAGGACCTCTTTTCTAAAACAACATATCCTTAGACTCAAATTTTGAAATTAAGAAACCTTTATGTTGGTTTAACTTAGCAGTCCATACAATGAAATGCCTCTCTGTACTTAGCTCTTTCACAGTCAAAGAATTCAAAGATAACACAATAATATACATAATCCAGACTCTCTGTGTATAGTCCTTCTTTACATGGCTTATTTTTCTTACTCCATTTTATCTGTGACTATCGGTAGTCTGTCACTTTATAAACTTTACACTTTTCTTTTAAGCATTAACTTTATTTTATGACTCTCTATACTCTCTCTCTTCTCTCCCCCAAGCCTACATATATTTCTCCAACACTATGACCCATTTAGAGGTCTTTTTATTTGGATTTGTCTTTATTGCATATCTGTAAATGTTTTCTGACCAGAAGCACTTCCTAAAATGCTAAACACTTCTTAAAAACTTATGCTGCACCATAGCTAGGTCAAATATGGTAAATCACTGCTTGTTCCACATAGTCTAAAACTTAAGCTGCGTGATTGCTATTGTATATATGGTACTGCCTGCTCACTATGCACAGTCCATCATCATGGAGCTGCTTGTATCTCTGAGCCTCACACACCATCCCATTTCCAGGCACAAAGCTAGCCCACATTGCCATCAAACAAGTTGCAACACACTGCTCATAAACCCTACTGAAATGCTCTGTAGTGGGGCCTTCTGCCTGAAAGAGCCAGAGGTCACACTGGCAGAACAGCACAGAAAGCTGGCATTTCAAAATGGCCCACCTTTTTTCCTGCTGTGGCTGAATCAGGAAAACATCTCTTATAAGAGCTGAGGCATACTGCCAGCAAACAGCTAGAAGCTGTGTTAAACTGTGTATTGTATTTTTATCTAGAATTCATTTTCAAGACCTCTCAGGTTTTATGTGGATTTAGTTAGCCACATGGTTGCCCATTATGGCAAGGAGATCGCTTGTTTTTCCTGGCCATCCAGCCCCAAAATATTCACACAGAAACTGTTTACATAAAATCACTGCTTGGCTAGTGATTAACTCGAGCTTCTTATTGGCTAACTCTTACATCTTCATTTAACCCATTGCAATTAATCTGTATATCTCCATGAGGTCATGGACTACCAGCAAAGTTTCATCTTATCTACCTTTGGCTGCACATCCATGGTGTCTCCCTGACTCTTTTCTTTTCCCAACATTCAGATTTGTCTTCCCCACACACCTAAGTTCTACCATATCAATAGGACAAGCATTTTCTTTATTGATTAACAAAGAAAAGCAACAAACAGACAGAAGGACCTCCCACACCAGAGCTCACTAATTTATTTCAATCACATAGTAATCATGGGTTGTCAACTGAAAATGCCAAATTGCTAGCTATAGATTATTCCATGTGTCACAGAGGGAAGCCCCAGATGATAAACAAGTTCTGTAGAGTCCTGATATACTTGTTTTTTTTTTCTAGAAATGGATGACAAGGCCTTGTTTTTTTTATTTATTAAAGATTTCTGTCTCTTCCCCACCACCACCTACCATTTCCCTCCCCCTCCCCCAATCATTTCCCCCTCCCTCGAAAGACCAAAGAGCAATCAGGTTTCTCTGCCCTATGGACTTGCTGAATATAGTGGACAATGAGGACTACTGAGAACAATGGCAATGGCCTTGGTTTTGATGTGTAAAGATATCAATTGGGCAGGGCGGTTCCTTCCTGTCAGAAATGTAAGCATATTTTGAGCTTGAATGTAGAGCCCATTTGCACATTGTGCAGTTTTTCTGAATGTCATTATTTTTATAGACTGTTTCACTTAATTTGTTTTCTTTTGATTAATGATATCTGTATGTATTGACAGTAGACATCTATCTTCTTTTCTTCTATTACTTATATAGCTTTTTGATATCTCTTGTAGCTTTGTGCCATAGCTTTTGAATTCAGTCTACTGGAAGAATAAAGTAGTCAATATATTGAAACACTTAAAGGTAGCACAGGATATATAAACACCTTTATAAGAAATCCTTGTCAAGTTTTAGTATCTTATCTTCTAATAGTGTGGTTGCTTTGGCTCATTTAGCCCAGGCCACAATTTTAAATTATGTGACCTTACCCACCAGTATAGTTTTTAAGGCAAAATGCTTTCTTAAATGTTCTCACAGGGATAGATTTCTTTCCTGACAGGAATGCTCAATTAATCATCCCAACAGACCCTGACCTTTAGCCTAATCTTATTAGTTTAAGGATATGAGATCATATGCCACAAAGCAAGGTCAATGTAGAAATACTGGACAGATGCAGGTTGTTGTGGTGCAGAATTATTGGTTGTTTCCATGAAACTCCCTCTAACTAACTGTATAAAAAGCTATGTCAGTTCATTTTCTTCACAACCAATATCCTATTTTGAATATCTGCAGAAGAGCAATGGCAAGCACCACCATGGTAAAGTTTCTACTGCTGGCTTTGGCATTTGGTCTGAATCATGCTCATGCTGAGGTAAATTCATTTGGTCTGTGAATAGGTTTAATGTTCTTCAATAGCTTACTTCTGTGGATATGTTGTGTCATTCAGTTTGTCCATGCAAATCCATATTCAAAAAATAACCTGGCTGACTTTTTCTCAGTTACTTCTTTCCAGCCAGATTTCTCAATGATGAAACAAATAAACTAAGAAAACAATGGGTCAAATTTACAGAGCATAGGAAGCCAAAATGTGAGTAGTTCCAAAAAGCTTCAGGTTTAAAATGCTATGTATATTGAGTTATCATATTACAATTTATTATTTTTCATCCCTAGATGCATAATCTTGAACTAATAAAGTTTTATTGATTTATATTTTTAGTAATTTTACATATTATCAAATATTGGGATCAGAGATGTGAGTATCAACCAACATTCTAATGGTATTTGTGGTTTGTTCAGCTTGAAGGAAAGTGGGTTACCACTGCCATCGCTGCTGACAATGTGGACAAGATAGAGGAAGGAGGACCTATGAGAGTCTACATGCGTGAACTTACTTGTTGTGAGGAATGTAGTCAAATGGAAATCACTTTTTATGTCAAGTAAGCTAATTGTCAACGGTGTAACCTGATCAGACTGTTTACATTCTATAGAATTTTATGTTGTTAAATTTACAGGAGAATGTTCTGTTTCTGATCAGGAAACTGCAAATCTTATCTTCAGAAATGTGATTATGTCATTCCATGATGGGTTAGCTCTGGGTCCCACATGAAAGTTAAATCTATCTTCAATTCTATGAGTGTTTCCTGAGAAATCCTTGTGGCTAGAGTCCTGTGGTTGAATTTTATTCTCAAAATTTAGAATCATGAGACTCCAAGGATTTCACTTCTAGTAAGTCAAAAGGTAGGTGTCAGCATTTGGGTTAAAGTCATGCATGCTATATTATTTTGCCACAGTGCCATAAAAAAATTCTTCCACAAACAGGTCAGATAAATCTAATTTGCAAATCCAGGTCTGCTGTTAATTTTTTCTCTATATATATTGTTTTATTGGTTAATGAATAAAGAATAAATTCCTTGCCTTTTATAGGGCTGGGTAGAGCTAAGTGGGGGAAAACTAAGCTGAATGTTTTGAGAAAGAAGACACAGTCAAAAAGATGCCATTTAGCCGCCAGGGGGGAAAGACATAAGTTGAATGCTTGAACCTTGCCATTGGGCCACAAGCCTTAGGGTAAAATATACATTACTAAATGGGTTAATTCTATATGTAAAATCTAGCTAGCAATATGCTTAAGTGATTAGATAAGCAATGATTTAAATAATATAGTTTCTGTGTGATTATTTTGGGTCTGAGCTACCGGGAGCATGTCTCTGATGCTCTAGTTTCAAAAATTTTCTTTCTGACTTTCAGGTGACAATATTCAATGAAAGACTGCATAGGACTGTAAGAACTTAAAATAGTTAGAACCATTAATTTGTTCTAGTCACAACCGTAGTTTTAGGTTACACATAAAAGCATTTAAACCACATTCATAAAATCCTGTGTACATATTATTGTTGGTCTAGAAAACGAGAATTAACATATTGAAAATCATATTCAGTGAATAGAGAAATTCAGACAAGGAAGAAAATAGAGTCTTCATAGCACTTGGGAAACATGCCACAAATAAAGTAATTCATAGGTATGATTAGAAACAGAATGATACTTTCTAATCAAGAATTATAAAAAGTGAGGTAAACAGAGATTTGTTTTCTCTAGCTCTGAATGCTGTTCATAGATATTAAATATTTCAAGTTCTTTAAAACCTGAAGATATTTAATATGAATTCACAGGATAAATACAATAAACCATGATTCCTTTGTTTGATTTTCAGTGTGAATGACCAATGTTCACAGACCAAAATCACTGCATATAAGCAAGAAGATGGAAACTACAAAACCCAGTGTAAGTATGGAATCTGGGAACTTCCTCTATAAACTAAGCATTGTGGATGAGCACATACATGTTGATACCTCAGCTACCCATAGGTACATGGACCTAGAATAATTTTGGTTACTAGGAAAGTTATCAATTTTTTCCAACCTACTGAGATATGCTAACAAAATATCTCCAAATAGTTTCCTGCATGAAAATTTGTTTCTAGGTCATATTCAGTGTCCTTTCTTTCATACAGTATCTCAGATTGTTATTGGACAAGCCTGCCACTCCCTAATAGGTATCTCAGTGGACTCAAACATCTTTGAAAACTCCATGATACAGGCTATCAAGTAGTTATTTTATAAGGATTATCTATCTTACTGGATTCGTAGAGAATTTAAATTAACAGTACTATTTTAAAGTTTCCTTTTCTTATATTTTGTAAAAAATTGTAACATTCAGATCACTGGAAGATAAAATACACTTTGAAAAGAAGTTAGGGGAAAAACTGCTTATGAATTTCAAACTGACTACCTTGATATTGCAAAACAATTGGTAAAATAATAGCAACACTGTTCAACTGAATGATACACAGCATAACTTTTTGTTGATTTTAAATGAAGAGAAGGTACATTCTTTTGGTAAAAAATAATGCTTTTCTAACCTTATATAAATATTAAAAAGAAGTCACATAATAGGAAATGACCAAATACTTAAAAGCATTTATTTTCCTGTGAATCATTTTATCATTCAAACAGTGTCTGTAAGTGGAAATATCATACACTCACACACACATACACACACGTGAATGCACAAACAACGGAAAGAGAGAGAGACAGTAAGAGAAATAAAGAGAGAGAAAGGGAGGCATACACACACAGAAACATTCATAGAGAGACTGACTCACAATATTAATGTCTAGTAAACTTAAAATATTTATTCTTACATTTTACATCTATAAGCTTACGAGAAGAAAACTGTTTTGCATATTTTTTTTGTTTTTTCGAGACAGGGGAGTACAGTCTCTTTTTGCATATTTAGCCATTTACTCACCAGGCCTTATTATGGTATGACACCAAAGTTTTAACTTTCAGGAAATTGACAAGTGGCCTTTTGGATCTGGTTGAAATTGGAAGGAATAACCAAAAGAGTGATCCCACAGATAATGACACAAAGAATTCAGAAAAAAGGGAAAGTGTATGTACCTAAGATTCACTATCAGGTTTAAAGAATGGAACTGATTTTTCTCCACGTTATGACAGGATAAGTAAAATGAATGACTACAAGAATATCTTTGCCCACGTGTGTCATGTGATAGTGAATCAGAGATGACTGCTTGAGTCAGGGTCAATATTAATGTTTTGTCAACAGGTGATGTCAAACAAAGTAGAAAAATGAGTGACACTAAGTTTTGAAATGTGTCTTTATTGCAGTTGAAGGTGATAATGTATTTAAACCTGTGTTTTCAACAGAAGACATCATAGTCTTTGCTGGTGATAATGTGGATAGAGCTAGCCGGAGAACAAAATTGATTTTTGTTCTTGGTAAGAATGGTAGTGGGTTTTCTGAAACAGTAACAAAAGTACAACCCTGTAAATGAGAATTAAGTCATATTCACCCACCAAATAAAGTATCATGGTATTTTCAAACTCCTGCCCACTAAATGACAGTCTGTTCTGTGGACCAACTTTTACATTATACTACAATTCAAGTAGCATGGTCATTGAAGACTAGGAGAAATGGGAGAAGGCTATTGGAAGAGTTTATTTTCATGTTTCCTTACTGGAAAGAATAGAGTAAATATTATTTTCACAAAATTCAGACAATTTTGAGTGTCATTTGGTCAAGTGTGTACTAAATAAAAAAAAAAACAAATTCTAAAGTATAGATTCAGGAGAAATGTGAAGGTTCCATTGACAGGCATCATGACTCTCCAGTGGTATGTTTTTGAAAGTGGATAGGACTTTGATGAGCAAATTCTCTCGAGAAGGTTCTTTTTTAAATTCTTTGATACATTATGAAACCCTGAAAAGAGATATCATACCAACTTTTAGACTTTGTTTAAAGTGTCCGTGGAACTTGCAAAAAAATTTGTTGCCTGTATTGACTCACCAAGTGTAGATGAATTTGGAGCAGTTGGGATTTTCACTGTATATTGTGGTGGGAAACTAAGGACACAATGTAAATTCTCCAGAATTCTACTGAGCATGTCTCTGACATTGTGATTCATACAATGTAGGAAAAGGCCAACCCTTGACTCCTGAGCAACATGAGAAACTTGAGGCATATGCTGAGGAACGTAGCATTCCACCAGAGAACATTCGAGATGTTCTGGCTACAGGTATCTACAAGGAATATTTTTATCCATATCATTTATACATATATATATATATATATATATATATACATATATCCACATATATAAAACACTGCGTATTCATAAATACATGTATATGTTCATGCTGACTTTGTCTCTCTATATGCTATCTATGTATCTATGTATCTATCCATCAACAAGGTGTCTACATATCTAGTCATTAAAATCCCTGAGTCAGATTATGTCTAGCCATATGCTTTCTTTCAGTTGCTATTTCCAGCAACAATCCTTGAGGAGCTGTTCTCATATTTGTAGGAGAATATTTCTGTCAATTTTATCCCATTTATGTTCTTTTACAGATACTTGTCCTAAATAATGACCTCCTGTAGGTGAGTAGAAACAGAAGCCATGCCTAATCATCTTGATATTTGAATGGATTTGTTCTTATTACATAAAAAATTAGAGATAAGTATGTGACCAAAAGAAAAAATGAATGTGAAATCTAGACAGTTTATTATTAGTCTTTTAAAACTGAGAATCTTACTGTAACAAAAATGAAGGATAGCATATTTTTATTTATAAAACAGTTTGAAGGACATTTATCTTACTCAGAATTGTTAAATTTTCTATATTGAGGTATAGTCCATCAAAAAACTGTGTCACGACTTTTGAAAATCTTACTTTATTTATGATTGTGCCACATGATTTATCACAGATATGGTACAATCAAGTTGATATTTTCAGTATATTCCTTGAAATCACTCAAAATAAATTTTTATGTAAGGCTAAGGAATGTCATTATTTCCTGCCAACAGTGCTCCTATAGAATCCAAAGCACAAGATATTGGTGATTTCTAGGGAAGAAACTGTTCATATGCAATCCCTTCTCTATACTCTATATTGTTATGTTTAATTTTGTATTCATACATTCAGAAGGGTGAAAACTTTCTTGTCTGGTAAACCATGTATGATTTTTGCTTTTATATCTGCACAGATGACAACATGATGAGAATTATGTATCAGTCCTCTTGACCATGAAATCAGTATCACATACAAATCACCATTTCTTTCAAAATCAATGTTCCCCTTGCCTGTGAAGTCAGGACACAACATTCCAAATTTCTGACTTACCTTTTTTCTCTTCTTATGATCAATGAGTTGTTCTTTTTTTTGAATGATTAAATAAAATGTTTCAAAAAGCAATAAGGACTTTGTGAAAAGGATCTCATTTAAAAACCCCATAAACACTCACTAGCTAATTAAAATCACCATTCCATTGTAACAAATGATATCTGTATTACTAAAACTTATTGTAATAATTGGAAACTTTACAATTACTAAAGGGCCACATGCAAGAACTCTGCAGAAGTGAATTGTATGATGTGTTCTTATTTTCCTTCAGCTGAAAATTAGTTATTTGCAGATAAATGGTCATAACCCTTTAAAATATTTCACATAACAAACTCTTTGTTTCTGCCTTCATGTTACAATTATTTAAAACAAAGAATGAAATATGTTTTCAATAGTTCATATGAGGGGATTATCTCTTGTTAATTGACTTCAGTAAGCAAATGAATCAGGATATTCTTAAGTAGTGTACATATGTGTCATTATCACTTGAAGAATAAATTCATGATAATGATATTCTATATATACCAATCCCTATAAATATGCAATTATTTATTACAACTTTCTGTGTGTTATACAATGATTCTTTATAATACACTTAACTATCAAAATAGAAAAGGCAATGCAATCTTCTTTGAGGGCTTGAAACAAGGAAAAAGAAAAGCTATAGACAGTGTTGCTATATCCAGTCTCTTGTCTAAGGCTATAACAAAATCAAAGTACATTCAATATACATAGGCAACTGATATGAATAAGATACAAGGAAATATTTTCTTGTTAAAAAAACCTGTTATTTAACCTTTCTTTTTGTGTCTTGTAAAACAAAATGTTTTCAGAACAAATACTTGATTAATGTTTGATAAAAATTCTGCATATTCAATGTACATTTATATCACTTCACCTCATTCTCAAAATAATTACTGGTGCCCCAACCACTTCCTTCAATTTCTCCAACTTATTCATGAATATACATATTTATTTGAAAGTATTTGTGAATGTGTGTGTGTGTCCATGTGTGCATGCGTGTGTATTTAGAGAGAGGAGACTGACAGAGAAATGTATGGCCCAACTGAGTCCATTAAGTTTTTGTAATATGTATTCATGTTTAGTGCTGGGACCTTGGTCTTCTATTGCTTATTACTTATAACTGATCTCACTTTAGAGGTAAAAGAAATATGGCTACTTCTTTTACTATCAGAAATTGCTTTCTTTCTTTCTTTTTATTAAAAATTTCTGCCTCCTCCCCTCCCCAGCCTCCCATTTCCCTCACCCTCCCCCGCTCCCCTCCCCCTCCCTCTACAGCCTGAAGAGCAGTCAGGGTTCCCTGCCCTGTGAGAAGTCCAAGGTCCTCCCCCCTCCATCCAGGTCTAGGAAGGTGAGCACCCAAACAGCCTAGGCTCCCACAAAGCCAGTACATGCAGTAGAATTGAAACTCAGTCCCATTGTTCTTGGCTTCTCAGCAGCCCTCATTGTCCGCCATGTTCAGAGAGTCCGGTTTTATCCCATGCTTTTTTAGACCCAGTAGAGCTGGCCTTGGTGAGTTCCCAATAGAACAGCCCCATTGTCTCAGTGTTTGGGTGCACCCCTCACGGTCCTGACTTCCTTGTTCAAGTTCTCCCTCCTTCTGCTCCTCATTTGGACCATGGAAGCAGGCCAGTGTTCCAATGTGGGTCTCTGTCTTTATCTCCTTTGATCGCCAGATGAAGGTTCTATGATGTTATGCAAGATATTCATCAGTATGACTATAGGGTAGGGCCATTTCAGGCTCCTTCTCCTCAACTGCCCAAGGAACTAGCCTTGGGCAGAAGTTGCTTTCTAAGCCATCTAGTCTTCAAATAGCATCGAAGTTCCAAAGTGCTATAAACTTTTCTCCTAACACTGCTTACATCATGTTCCATGAATCTGGATATGCTATACAGTTATTTTCATCAAATTTTAAGAAGTCTTTAACTTCTTCACTTCTCCCTTGAACTATTGGAGATGAATTTCAGTGAATTTGTGGGCTTTCTGAATTTAGTGTTGTTTATAGGTTCTAACTATAAGCCATGGTGATCTGATAAGATACATGGGTTTATTCCAATTTTTGGTATCCATTAAGGATTTCTTTGTTACCTAGTATGTGGTTAATTTTTGAGAAGGTTCCATGAGGTGCTGAGAAGGAGTTATATTAGTTGATGTTTGAATAGAATGTTCTATAGATGTCTAGTAAGTCCATTTGAGTCATAACATCTGTTAGTTTATTTTTTAAAAAAATTTTTTATTGAGAAAAGGAGAAAAAAAAACAAATTTCCTCCTCCTCCCAGCCTCCCATTTCCCTCCCCCCCCCACCCTTCTCCCCCTCCTCCCACCCTTCTCCCCCTCCCCCCACTCCTCCAACCCTCCCTCTCCAGCCGAAAGAGCAGTCAGGGTTCCCTGCCCTGTAGTAAGTCCTAGGTCCACCCCCCTCTGTCCATTTCTAGGAAGGTGAACATCCAAACTGGCTAGGCTCCCACAAAGCCAGCACATTACGTAGGTTCAAAACCCCGTGCCATTATCCTTGGGTTCTCATCAGCCCTCATTGTTCGCCATGCTCAGAGAGTCCAGTTTTATCCCATGCTTTTTCAGTCACAGTCCAGCTGGCCTTGGTGAGCTCCCAATAGATCAGCTCCATTGTCTCAGTGGGTGGGTGCTCCCCTCATGGTCCCGACTTCTTTGCTCATGTTCTCCCTCCTTCTGCTCCTCATTGGGACCTTGGGAGCCCATTCCAGTGCTCCAGTGTGGGTCTCTGTCTCTGTCTCCATCCATCACCAGATGAAGGTTCTATGGTGATATGCAAGATATTCGTCAGTATTGCTATAGGATAGGGTCATTTCAGGTTCCCTATCCTCAGCTGCCCAAGGAACTAACTGGGGACCTCGGCTTGGGCATCTGGGAGCCACTCTAGGTTCAAGTCTCTTGCCAACCCTAAGGTGGCTCCCTTAACTAAGAATTGTGCTTCCGTGCTCCCCTATCCAACCTTCCTTTATCCCAATCCTCCTTTTTCCCCAAGTTCCCCCCATTCTCCCCTTCTCCCTTCTCTCCCCATCTCCCCTTACCCCCATCCTACCCCACCCCCAAGATCTAAATTTTCTCCCCGGCAATTTTGTCTACTTCCCATAGCCAAGAGGACAACTATATGCTTTTCCTTTGGTTCACCTTCTTACTTAGCTTCTTTGGGATCACCAATTGTAGACTCCGTGACCCTTGTTTATGGCTAGAAACCAATTATGAGTGAGTACATCCCATATCCATCTTTTTGGGTCTGGGGTACCTCACTCAGGATAGTGTTTTCTATTTCCATCCATTTGCATGCAAAATTTGAGAAGTCATTGTTTTTTACCGCAGCATAGTACTCTAATGTGTAGATATTCCATACTTTCTTCATCCATTCTTCCATTGAAGGGCATCTAGGTTGTTTCCAGGTTCTGGCTATCACAAACAATACAAAGAATCAATGAAACAAAAAGCTGGTTCCTGGAGAAAATCAACAAGGTTGGCAAACCCCTATCCAAACTAATCAAACGGCAGAGAGAGAATTTGCAAATTAATAAGATCAGAAATGAAAAGGGGGACATAACCACAGACACAGAGGAAATTCAGAAAATCATTAGATCTTACTACAAAAGCCTATATGCCACAAAACTGAAAAAAGTAAAGGAAATGGACACTTTTTTAGATAAATACCATATACCAAAGTTAAACCAGGACCAGGTGAACAATCTAAATAGACCTGTTAGTCGCGAAGAATTAGAAGAGGTTATCAAAAACCTCCCTACCAAAAAAAGACCAGGACCAGATGGTTTCAATGCGGAATTCTACCAGAACTTCCAAGAAGACCTAATACCTATACTCCTTAATGTATTTCACAATATAGAAACAGAAGAGGCATTGCCAAATTCCTTTTATGATGCTACAGTTACTCTGATACCAAAACCGCACAAAGACTCAACCAAGAAAGAAAATTATAGACCAATCTCACTCATGAACATCGATGCAAAAATCCTCAACAAAATACTGGCAAACCGAATCCAAGAACACATTAGAAAAATTATCCATTATGATCAAGTAGGCTTCATCCCAGGGATGCAGGGCTGGTTCAACATACGAAAATCTATCAATGTAATCCAGCATATAAATAAACTGAAAGAAAAAAACCATATGATCATTTCATTAGATGCTGAAAAAGCATTTGACAAAATTCAACACCCCTTTATGATAAAAGTCTTGGAG